CCAGTGTGGTCTTTGCCTGCAACTTTGTAAATTTCCATGTCTTCCATGGCGTGGATTCCAAGGCTGTCTTCCTGCTGAAGATTGGTAGTGTGACCATGACCTTCACAGCCTCTGTAGGCAGCCTGCTGCTGACTGCCATTGACCGCTACCTCTGTCTGCGCTACCCACCTACGTACAAAGCCCTACTCACCCGTGGGAGGGCTCTGCTGACCCTGAGCATCATGTGGGTCATCTCAGCATTGGTCTCCTACCTGCCTCTCATGGGATGGACTTGCTGTCCCAGTCCCTGCTCTGAGCTTTTCCCCCTGATCCCCAATGACTATCTGCTGGGCTGGCTCCTATTCATTGCTGTCCTCTTCTCTGGCATCATCTACACCTATGGGCATGTCCTCTGGAAGGCCCATCAGCATGTAGCCAGCTTGGCTGAGCACCAGGACAGGCACGTGCCAGGAATGGCCCGGATGAGGCTAGATGTGAGGTTGGCCAAGACCCTGGGGGTGGTGCTGGCTGTGCTCTTCATATGCTGGTTCCCAGTACTGGCCCTCATGGTCTACAGCCTGGCCACCACTCTTGACGACCAGGTCAAGAAGGTCTTTGCCTTCTTCTCCTTGCTCTGCCTTGTCAACTCCATGGTCAACCCCATCATCTATGCCCTGCGGAGTGCAGAGATCCGCTCCTCTGCCCACCACCGCCTGGCCCGCTGGAAGAAGTGCCTGAGGGGCCTTGCGTCTGAAGGAAAAGAAGAGGTCCCAAGGTCCTCAGTCACTGAGACAGAGGCTGATGTGAAAATCACCCAGTGGCCAGATTCCAGAGGTCTATACTGCTCTGACTGCTGATAAGGCCTCGTTCGCAGTTTTAAACAAGCCAAGTCAGAATCATTTCACTCCCTGGAGAAGAAAGCGTGGTCTTGACCCTCTCATCTTACTTGAACCTAGGGCCTGGGCACTGACCCCTTTTTGCTGATGATTGTTGGCATTGACCCCTGGAGGGTAGCCTGGCCATGCCTATCTGCACACAGTCTGTTGGACAGGCAAGGTGGGCAGGAGGCAAGAGGCCTGGTCCAGGCTCAGTGCTAGTCAGGTCAGGACAACCTTCCTGACAAGATGCTTAGTGCCTGCATCCTCTAGAGACCACAGAAGCCAGAAGGAGCCTTCAGTCTCAGCCATGCGGGACAGGGAGGAAATCTGAATGAGAAGAAGAATGGATTATTCTCCTGGGATCTCAGGGTATCACATAGGATGGACGGCCAGCCTCTATTCCTGCTTAATCGTTGGGGCCTCCTTGGTTCTGGAGCTATGAAAGTCCCCACCTTCAGGTCACCCTTTCCCATTGAGGACCAAGAACTGTGACATGATGAGGATCAAGGATGTTGATCCATCTCTTTCAGAGGTAACTGACAAGCATCCAGTTCAGAGCATCTTGTTATTAGGGCAATGGCCCTCCCTGGTACCCTGATAATCCCCACTTACAGCCACTGTGACCTCTTAAGTCCCTGGGGAGTACAGAGGAGGCTGGGATTGCTCGAGACACAGAATCTTCAGAGAATTTTATTGACCCTGCTAAGTCCTATTTGGTGGTACCACCGGAAGCAGGCAGCATCCAGTCTAACCCAACGCCAAGAAAAAGGAAGATATTCACAAAGATTTTATAAATCCCCAAATTGTTCCCAGTCATCTCTCAATTCAACCCCTTTGTCTCCTCCACACCCCTATAATGAATAATCAACAGAGTAAGTGAGAGGAGGGGGAAATTCCCTTACTCTGTGCCGGGCCCACAATCCATTATCTCCAGCAAGAATACAGCCCCATGCTTTTGAAGATTCCAGGACACTTATATTTTACATATCAGGGAGGCTGGGCTCCTACTAGAGGGGCTTGAAACAGGCAAGAGAAATTGTTGGTGGCAGGGAGAATTGCAGAGGAATTGTAATGCAATTTTTTGGAGCCATGGATGGAATAAAAGGAAAGATATTGATTAAAAATGTCTTCATTTAATACTTACAAGACAAGGGGCCGGCCCTGTGGCTTGGTGGTTAAGTGCGCGCGCTGCGATGCTGGTGGCCTGGGTTCGGATCCCGGGTGCGCATTGAGGCACCACTTCTCCGTTCATCCTGAGGCCGAGTCCCGCATACAGCAACTAGAAGGATGTGCAGCTACGACATACAACTATCCACTGGGGCTTTGGGGGGAAAAAAATAAAATAAATAAAATCTTTAAAAAAAAAAAAAAATACTTACAAGACAAAGTGTCCACTATTCATTCACTCATCCACCCATCTCACAAATACATCCCAGGTTCTGTGCTAGATCCTGGATGTCCAGCCATAAATGAGACTCTGCCCCGGTCTAATGGGGCTAACATTCTGCATTCCGGTGGGAAGAGAGCCAATAAATAAATGAAGAAGATAATTACTGGTAGTACAATGAAGGAAATTGTCAGGGTCATGGGATAGGGATTAATTGAGGCAACTTTAGGTAGGGTAGACCACTATGTACTCTGATCATAAATGCCAGCTGGCTTTTACTGAGTCTTTACCATGTGCCAGGCACTGGGCTAAGTGCTTTTACATGAGGTATTTCGCTTAGTCTTTACAATAATCTGATGAAGGGGTTTGGTATCTTCATTTTACAGATGAGGAAACCTCTAAGAGGCAAAACCACTTGCCTGAGGTCACACTGCTAACATGTACCCACAGCCGGGGTTTCCAACCCAGTTCTGTTTAACTCGAAAGCCTGCCCTCTTCACCACTAACCTCTTAGCGTAGTTCAGTGAAATTCTGCTTGATTAGGAATAATATTAGACTTCTGTAACATCAGATTGCTGCAACCTTAACTCATCATTATTTCTCAGTGTACATCATTTTATGCCCTGTATTAATTTCCACAAACTGAGTGGCTTGAAGTTTATTCTTTCACAGTTCTGGAGGCTAGAAGTCCAAAATCAAAGTGTCAGCAGGGCCATGCTCCCTCCAGAGGTTCAAGGGGAGCCTCTTCCAACTTCCAGCAGCTCCTGGTGTTCCTCGGCTTGAGGCAAAGCAACTCCAATCTGTGCCTCCATTCTCACACGGCATTCCCCTCCCCCCAGGTCTCCTAGCATCTTCATGTAAGGACGCCAATCATTGGATTAAGGCACACCCTAATCCACTATGACCTTATTCTAATTTACATCTACAAAGACTCTATTTCCAAATAAGGCAAGATTCACAGGTTCCAAGCGCAGATGAAGTTTTGGGGGACACCCTTCAACCCAGCTGAAATGGCTTTTTAAAAGGGAATTTGTGGTTCCTTAAAGTTGGGCCATGCCTTTCTTTATTCATTGGTGGGAACTTTATTCATTTTAGCAAAGAAAATGCACAAGTGCCTGGCATAAATTGATACTCAGTAAATATTTGTTTAATGAAGAAACCTAGAGTTTAAAAGTCATGCATTAAATGCACTTCACACTTTCTGCCTCTCTCTTTTCACAATCACACTCTATTTCTGCTTTAAGTAAAGAACTAGAGTTTATGGAGGGCGACGGCAAGGCGGAAAAGGGACCCCGGATATCACTGAGCCCTGCCCCCACTGTTTAGATGAGGAACGGGCCCAGACAGTGGACAAGACCTGCCTAAGGTAACCCAGCGGGGTGGTGTCCCGTGCAAGAAACACAGGTTTCCCCACTTCCAGTTTTGTCCACTCTACAGCAAGGCCTCTCACCTGCCCCTGCAGATTTACATTTTGATTATGAGGATAAGGACAAATAAAGATCACAGTTCCCATTTTATCTTTCTCAAGACGAGTTCTGTAACATCAAAGACCATTACTCACTCTGATTGCTAGAAGATGTGCAGATGGGTTGTTTTTTTTAAGGCATCCGTGCTTACTGTTTTGGACAATATTTCAACATAACCCTGCAGACGAAGAAACACAGAAGATAAAGAAAATAGCTGTTCATTCAGCAACAGCCATCAAGTTTCCTTATGACTCCTAGAATGAGGAAGTGTTTGGTTCTGTCAGCACAGGCTCTGACCCCTCCCAGGTGCAAGAGGAAAGCAGTATAGATTTTGCATCCGGAGACCTGCCTTCTGGTCCCACCTGTGACCCAAACTAGCTGCATGATCTTGGGCAACTCCCATCCCCTCTCTGGGCCTCAGTTTCCTCCTCTGTAAAATGGGAAGAGTAGGGAAAGGGATAGTGTTGAGGATCTCCAAGGTCCCTTCCAACTCTGACGTGCAACAGTCCTCTCGCTGATGTGTGGGGACTGGCTGTGCCACGTGGGGTCATTAGACTTCCCAGACCTGATGGCCTCACCTCCTGTCTGAGCACACACAGCAGGTATGAATTGTCAGACAAGGCTCACGCAGGTACTCCTTGGGCCCGGGGCTCTCAGTTTTCTCACTCTGCTACTCTAAAAAATGTTCCTTCGTGGCGGCCTGTGCATGAGGCTTGTTTTTCCTGAGGCTTGTTTTTCCAAACAGATATTAAGCTCTTTGAATTGCCCCAGAATTGCCAAAGCAAGTTCAATAAATGTTAGACAGGCAAAAGGGTCACACCTGCTCTTCCTCTTTCAGCGCCCACTGTTTTCCCTCCTCTCCCCTCATAATGCTTCCTCCCATCATCCCCCTACCCCATTATTTCCGCCAGAGCTGTTCCATGCCCTTCCATCTGGTATTCCTGCCTCCAGGCTTGCTCTTCTATACTATTGTTCAAAGAGTCCGCTATGGCTCCCAACGGCAAAATAAGACTACTCTCGGTTCTCTGCACACACAGGGCCTTCCACACCCCCACGACTTAACCTTGCAGTGAAGTCCCTTCTCAAGTTTCCAACGCCCCATTGCGTCTTTCTCCCTTTGAGCGCCAGAAGGCGCTGCAGGAACGGCCGACCCGTACGGGAAGAGACTCGGTAGCCAGGCAGCCCGGCTTGACCCGCCCCCTTTTCCTTCCGAGCCAATCATTAGTTAGAGTGGGCGGGGCCGCGCGTCCCGCACCTGCGCGTTAGGAGGGGCGGTGGAGGCGCGGAGACAGAGATGCGGTCTCCCGAGATGAAGTCGCGGGCGCGGGGCGCCCGGCTGCTGCTGCTCTTGCTGGTGCTCGGGGAGGCCGCGTCGGCGCTCGGGACTGCGTGCCCGGCCGGGCCTGGGTGCCGCTACACCCCGGACTGGCCGAGTCTGGACTCCCGGCCGCTGCCGGGCTGGTTCGACGAGGCCAAGTTCGGGGTGTTCCTGCACTGGGGCGTGTTCTCGGTGCCGGCCTGGGGCAGCGAGTGGTTCTGGTGGCACTGGAAGGGCGAGCGGCGGCCGCCGTACGAACGCTTCATGAGCGACAACTACCCGCCCGGCTTCAGCTACGCCGACTTCGGGCCGCAGTTCACGACGCGCTTCTTCCACCCGGACAGCTGGGCCGACCTCTTCCAGGCCGCCGGGGCCAAGTGAGTGTCGCCGCGCCCCTTCCCCGGCTCTGGCCGCCCGGGCAGTGGGAGGGGCTGAGGCAGGTGGGAACCGAGCGGGCGAGGCGGGGCGACTTGCCCAGGGTCGCACAGCTGTCCCTTTGACTTGAGATACCTGTGTTTGCCTCCTGAAGGATGCAGAATTGAATGTGGCACGCCTAATCCTAAGGAGAAGATGCGTCTGGTTGGGGATTAGAAGAAAAGAAAGGTTTCAGGGAGGTGCTGGGCTGGAAAGCCCTCAGCGTCTACAACTGTATAACGAGAGGATTGAGCTGGGTGATAGCTAATGTCCCTTCCAGGTCCGCAAGACAGGAGTCCAGGATTTTAAGCCAGTGGTATGGACTCTGGCCCTAGTTCGACTGTGAACTTGAACACGGCTGCACCTCCCTGCAGCCTCCTTCCAAGGTGATAGACAGGGATTGTGTTAGTTCCTTTCAGCTTTAATATCTCTGAGAGGGAAAGGGAGAGAAGGGAGTTCTGGTGTGCAGTGTATTTGGGCAGCAGTACGGATTCTCGTTCATCTGCTCTTCTCAACGCCTTGTACACAGAAAGTGCTCAAGTTGGAGCTTGTGTGTGAATGGTTCAGAGAACTGATAGTGTAGAGTGCTGAGAGGGGGAGAGAGCAGCAAGGAGCCAGGAGGTTGTTGAAGGCTGCGGCCAGCCCTGAAAGAGGAATCCTTGAGGGCAGTGTGTTGCTGGGTGGTAAGTCAGGAAATAGTCACCCTCAGCTTCTAAAAGGATTAGTTTGGCTGCTGGGAGGGAAGTGGGTTGGAGGAGAGTAAGAATGGAGGCAGGGAGGTTTCTCTTGGCTTACAGCAGTCTTCCACCCTTACTTTGACTCCTCAGTCGTCTTCCAGGTTTTAGTTTTTCTTGGACTTTAAGTTCTCTTGTACTAAAGAGAAATTACAACTGATATTTAGTGTTTGCCATTAAATGTATGGGAATATAAGGCTTGAATAAACAGAGGAGGTGTTCTCTGTCTTCTAGGAGCCTTAGAGATCCGTAATTTACAAATGAAAAAAATTAAAATCTGGGAGACATCCTCTGTCCAGACCCCTTATTTTATGGGACAAGGTGACTGGGCCAGATAGAGGAAGGGAACTATGTCCTAGACTCCAAGTCTGCTGACTCCAAGGTGAAGGTTCTTTCCACCACACCAGGGATCTGCAAACCGTTGCCAGAGGGATTGGTCCTCTGCCTGTTTTTGTAAGTTCAATGAGATGAGAATGACTTTTACATTTTAAAAGAGTTGTTTAAAAAAAAAAAGAGGAGGAAAAAGAAGATGCCATGGAGACAAATGTGGCCCAGAAAGCCTTACTCTCTGGCCCTTAAAGTCTTAGAGCTCCCCACACCAGCGAGTGGTTAAATTATCAGGTGTAGGCACCATCTATTTTTTCTGCCATAAAAGCAAATGAAACATTGAGTGATTTGGTTGTTATTTCAACACCTGCCTTTTCTCCACAGCTCTTATGGTTTTTTGTCACCTCTGTAAATGAGAGGCAGTTCATATGGGCTTGGTAAAACAAACAGCTTACTTCTCTATCATCTGCTATTTCCTTCTCCTTTAGGGCAAAGGGTTTAAAAAAAGTTTATCATTAACACCCAGAAGGGTTGAAGAACTGGAGAGCTAACCTGCACATCTTTTCCCTCACCTACTCCTTCCTTCTCTCTGGGCCTCCTTGGCTGGGAACTGAGGACTGTGGCTTCCTCAAGTTTGCTTTCATTCCTGGAGCAGTACCCAAGGGAAGTTGTGACTCCAGCAGCTCCCTGGGAGTCACTAATACAGTCACTCATACAAGTACATTTCCTGTAGTCAACTTCTCCCAACCATTTTAAAAGCCTCAGGTGTGCTGGGTAAGTTCATGCTCATGGCCCACTGCCCACTTCCTTTGCTCATATGGTTTTGATGTCCATAGGTATGTGGTCCTGACAACAAAGCATCACGAAGGCTACACAAACTGGCCGAGTCCTGTATCTTGGAACTGGAATTCTCAGGATGTGGGACCCCATCGGGATTTGGTTGGTGAGTTGGGAGCAGCCATCCGGAAGAGGTGTGTACCTACACACGGTCACGCCATCATTGCTTTTGATCTAGCCATTGAGTGTACCATACCTTCTCTGCTCTTGTGTATTTTCTACGTTTGCATTTAGTGAGAAACCTGCAGGGCTTCTGGTCTTTGAATTAGCAGTGTTTGATGCTTGGCAGTTTCCATGTGACCAAAGGTGACACCATCAAAGAAGTTCATGGCCCTGTCTCGTTAGGTGAAGGATACCCAGCATAGACCACAATGCTCCATTTGCACTCTGCGAAGGATTCTTTCTGGAAAGCCTTCCCACCCAGGGCCTTTTCCAGTGTCTGATGGAAGCCAGGGACTGGGTCTCTCATCTTTGCATCCCCCTCAGCTGTCAACACAGAGCTTTGCAGGCATTCAGAGAATGTTTGGGTGAATGGTACAGCCAGAGGGAACTGAAAAGGGCAGTTAAAGCAGCAAAAAGTGAGGGAATGAGCCCCTCAGTCGATTCTAATTAATGCTCCCTAATATTTGCCCCTTAATAAGAAGTAACTTGCCAAGATCAAAGAGCCTGGAAATGACAGAGGTGGGATTTGAACCCAGGTATTCTGGTTTGGGACCCCACAGTTCTGGGTATATTTGCCTGTAAGAAAGAAAAGTGGTATTTGTGCCATGCCCAGTCTCAGCTCTCTTGTCATTTGGTAAACTTGATGTCCTATTTAAGGGGTAGACCAGCTGCCTATTTGTGTAAATAAAGCTTTATTGGAACACAGCTATGCCCATTCATTTATGTGTGGTCTGTGGCTGCTGTCAAGCTATCATTTAGAGTTGGGATAGAGACCACAAGGCCTGCAAAGCCTAAAATGCTAGCTGGCCCTTTAAGAAAGTGTTTGCTGACTCCTGTCACCTGTTCAATATTCATTTTCCCAATGCTGTGCTTTGCTGATAGTCCTGCTGTAAAACTCTGAGATGTTGATTAGATCTGGACTTTAGGGTCCTTAAGTTTTATCTTCTTTGTATCTGTTTAGTCCCCGAGTCATATAATGAAATACTTAACTTCAGTTCTTTCTGCCTTATCTGTGCCATTGCAATGTTATCCTTACTTCTTACTTGAATTATAGTGTTTCTGTTACCAAATGAGTTAAGAAACTCAAAACAAGCTTTACTGTGTATGAAAATAGGTCACTTTAACCACGTTTCATTTGGGGTCTATTATGAATTGTTAGTAAATCTTAGATAAATGAAACAATAAACCCATATTCATTCATTTCAACTACATTAAAAATAGTGCTAATAATTATTTCTGAGTGATAAGATTTTGGATATTTTATTCTTTTTACTGTTCTCTCTCTTCCAGTATGTCTATAATATGTATTCTTATGATTGACAGAGAAAACATTTTTAAAAAATAGGACAATATGTTATTTGAGATAATTGGCTTAAAAAACCAAAGATGGTTTAAATGACATTTGATGTTAAGATATTTATGTATAAAAAGTAGTTATGTGTATTATCAAAAACATAGTAAATCTAATCATTTTGCTTAAGTTGAATGATAAGAGAATTTAAGGAAATGGTTTTGGATCCCACCCTCCTGCATGCCCTTCTGGGTGAGTTTCACTGAGATGTAAAAATGCTGCGACTGATTTTTTTTCAAATAAATTATTTTTCTTTGCTTAATGACAGTTGCTGTCCTGTTTTTCTGTTTAAGGAACATACGCTATGGACTCTATCACTCACTCTTAGAATGGTTCCATCCCCTCTACCTCCTTGATAAGAAAAATGGCTTTAAAACACAGCATTTTGTCAGTGCGAAAACAATGCCAGAGCTATACGACCTTGTTAACAGGTAAAAAACAGATGTTTTTGGCCTTATGACTTTTATCAATGAAATCAGAGCTTCCTATAGGATACTGTTAAGTTAGGGGAAAGGGGGAAAAGAGGGGATTATGAAAAACATCTAGAAGACATCGAAATAGTAAAAGTGGTGGTTGTATTAAGACAAAATATATTTTTTTCTCCTACTTTTCAAAACTGCCGTAATGTGGTCATATCGCCTTTATAAATTGAAACAATCAAACAAAACCAAGGATGGTACTTAAGTCAAAACTTCAGTTTCCTCCTTGCATTCTATTTTCTTTGTTTTGGACCTTGGAGAGGGGCAGGAGCGTCCTATGCAAGACCCTACATCGGATTTAGCATCAGACAGATCTGCATTTGAATTCTGGCTCTTGTTACCACAAGCCTTCAACAGATCACCCTTCTCAGCCTCAGATTCTCACTCTGTAAAGGGGGGATAATAACGCCTTCTGTATAGGGCTCAGAATAATATGCAGAAGTATCTGTCACCGTGCCTGGCAAAGAATGAGGGTGTTACTATCATCATAATCACTTTCAGTTTGGGATTTGTCGCTAAGTCTTCACCATGTTTTATTCCTAGTTTGCCCTTCTCACACTTGGGGGCTTCCGGAGAATGGAGGACCTTTAAAGCTTAAGAGGCAGCCATCTCTGCCTGGATTCTCATTTTAGACCAAAAAAACCCTCCTTGCATCCAGATGACTTCTCCGAGGAAATAGTACAGTTGTAAGGGACCAGCAGAGGCTTCAGTCAGTCAGAACTGGATCTGAAATCCAGTTCTTTTTTCTTACTGGCTGTGTGGCCTTGAGCAAACTACTTAATCTGTCTAGATCTCTGTTTCTTTATCTGCAAAATGGGGATAACATTCAGCATAGGGTCGTAGTAAGAACTAATGAGGTAATGAACGTCAAGGGCCTAGTACAGTTTCTCATACACAGTAAAACACAGACTGTCTTGTGTTACGTCTTGCCTCTTAGACAGGCAGTCTTTCTCCTGGAGTCTGCTTGCTGTCCTAATTACAGAGTACCGCAGAAGATGTGGCATCAGGCAGATTTGCATTTAGGTTCCAGCTCCTGTTACTTACGAGCTTCGTCCCCTAAAACAAATTGCCCTGCTGAGCATCAGATTCTCACTCTCTAACTAATAATAGGGAACAATAATGCTTACCTTACAGGTATACACACTCACATCTCACAGAGCTTAGAGTAATAACACGTGAAAGGTGCAACTGTGGCTCAGGTGGTTCTATAAATCCTTTATGGTCGAAGCTTTGGGTCGTTGTCCAAAAACATGCATTTGGTGGAATAGTTGAAGCTCTTCGTACATCTTAAAACCTTAATCCTATGGTTCTGGAGCACCACTCTTTTAATTGGAATTAGTTGCTGAAAGGAAACCAAATTGTATGTATACTGATTACAACTCTATATATATATTTTTTTTCCTGGGGAAGATCAGCCCTGAGCTGACATCGTTGTCAATCTTCCTCTTTTTCGCTGAGGAGGGTTGGCCCTGGGGTAACATCCGTGCCCATCTTCCTCTACTTTATATGGGATGCCGCCGCAGCATGGCTTGACAAGCAGTGTGTCGGTCTATGCCAGGGATCCGAACCTGCGAACCCCAGGCCGCCAAAGCGGAGCATGCGCACTTAACAACTGCACCACTGGGCCGGCCCCGATCTTCCTCTATTTTGTATGTGGGTTGCCACCACAGCATGGCTTGATGAGTGGTGTAGGTCCGTGCCCAGGATCCAAACCTGTGAACCTGGACTGCCAAAGCAGAGCGCGCCAAACTTAACCACTATGCCACCAGGCCAGCCCCACAACTCTGTTTTTAGAAAGACTTTAAAAACAAAAAGATGAGGAGGAAATACACCAAAATGCTGTGTGTGAAACAGTGGTTATGTTAGCAGAGGTTTTTGTGTGTGTGTTGTCTCTTTAGTTTTCCCCATTCTCTTCACTGTGCTAATTCTATGATACTTTCAAAATGAGGGAAAATTAATTTTTAAATATTTGTTGGAAAAATATATCTGTAAGACTTTACCGTGACTGGATTCAGATAATAAACTGTTCTAATTCCGTGTCTTTCAGGTACAAACCTGACTTGATTTGGTCTGATGGAGACTGGGAAAGTCCTGATACTTACTGGAACTCGACATATTTTCTTTCTTGGCTCTACAATGATAGCCCAGTCAAGGTATGTGATTATATGACTTAGCTCTTATTTATCCTTATGATAACAGAGAGGATAAGGAGCCAAGATCTGGAGTGATAACAAAAATGACAGCAGCAGCAGTGATAAATAGTAACATCAACATGAGGTGGGAGGGACTTGGGGACTTAATGGATGTTAAAGGTTTCTCCTTTAATTCTTTTTTTCCTCTTTGCTTGGAGCATAAGCTTTTTTTTTATCCTTTAATTCTTGTGACAACATAGATTTAAATCTTGTTAAAACTAATATACCGAACATATAAAGTTAAATGATAGGAATAAAATGTGAATATCTGTGACCTCACCTACTCTATGTTGATTATGTAGTTTAACTCTTGGGGAAGTTTCATTTCCCTTGTATCTAAATTCTTGAGGGAACTTTGCCTACCTCCTCCTCCCCATAATCAACACTATTACACTGCATCAAAGCAGCCCATTTTCAGTTTGTATTTTGGTACACTTACAAAGTAGCAGAAGTCTTAATCTTCACTATAGAAAATTTCAAAAATTTTACATATTTTGGATTTGTTGTGGATCTAGAAAAATCTAATTATAAAACCAGTTTGGACTGAGCTATTTTGGTGGATTCATAAGCCTCTAAGGATCTTATTGGGTAACTATTACTAAACTCAGAAAATGGGAAGAGAGAAAAAAGGACAGAGATCCTATGTGACAAAGACAAATTAAGAGTAGTTTTCTGGGACTTGCCAAATGTGGGGGGACTCCTGGGGATGCAGCATCACGGTTCTCCCCCAAGGCTCCTCGTGGTGGGGTGGCTCAGACGTGGACCCCTGAGAGGGAGGCTGCAGACCCTGTTCTACCCACTCTTGGTCTGAATGCTTTTTCCACGTGTTAGGAAAGAGGGTTATTTTGGAGCTACACTCACACTAGGCAAGTACTTTTAGGAGAAATAGTCCCCTATCCTTACCATTCCTTCTGCCTGTTCCCACACGGCTCACTCCTGTGCTTCCAGAGGGTCTTCACTCAGAGGTCATCTATTTAGTGCAGTCTCCCCTGCCTCCCTGTCTAAAACAGCAGCGTGCCCCTGTCATGCTACATGCCTTTCCTTGCTTTCTCTTTCCCTTAGCACTTCCCTAGTCTAACAGATTTCAGATCACTGAGCTTTTTTTTTATTATCTGGCTCTTAGTAAAGTGGCAGCTTTATGAGGGCAAGAGTTTGGGTCTGTTCATTGCTGTGTCTCCAACCCCAAGGACAGGACTTGGCCCACTGAGGCACATAGTAAATATCGGTCGGATGTAAACTCAATCCGACTCCTGCCAATTCATATTCTTTCCTGGCGGAAGTAAGAAACACTCCTGGATCAGTGTTCCCCATTATGTTAATCCCTAGGTAATTAACTCTGATGTGATGTCATATTATAATTGTCCCCATATCTGTCTTCTCAGCTGGTCTCTGCTGGATCTCACAAGAACTGTTTTATTCACGTGGGATACCCCAGTATGAGCCTCATAGCAGTAGTAAACATTTACATTAAGATAGTCCATGTAATGATTTCTCATAGTTCAGCTAAACCTTGAAGGAAGGAAAAGAATATGTGGTTGCTGACTTTCTTTACCTACATAATGTAGTGGGCTGAGTTCAGCTACCTGATTCGTAGTCCCAGCTTTCTGAAATTCTGCCCAGGGATGTGATCTTGGGTGAGTCTTCTCCTCCCCATTTCTCCTCTCGTAGAATAAGCGCTTTTCTAGATGATCTTTGAAACAAGCTCTCCCAGCTCTGACATTACATATCCCTTGACCAGGGTTTCTCAGCCTCGGCAATATTGACATTTGGGACTCTACCTACTAGATGGCAGTAGTACCACCCCAGTTGTGACAACCAGAAATGCCTCTTTGCCATATTCCCCTCCAGGGCACAATGGCCCCCAGTTGAGAACTACTGCTCTAGATTAAGTCTGTTCCTTCCTTCCGAATAGACTCTGAATTTATCACGCTGCATTACATAAGGAAGCTAAGTGGTTTGACCCCGGATGACGCAATCCTCTTTCCTCCTTTAGGATGAGGTAGTAGTGAATGATCGATGGGGTCAGAACTGTTCCTGCCACCATGGAGGATACTACAACTGCCAAGATAAATTCAAGCCAAAGACCTTGCCAGATCACAAGTGGGAGATGTGCAGCACCGTCGACAAGCACTCCTGGGGCTATCGTCGCGACATGGTGATGGCTGATATTGCGTCTGAATTTGAAATCATTTCGGTAAGACACCTGTGAGTTAGTTATTTGTTAACTACTATCTCAAACTAGCCTTCTAACTAAGAGTGGTGGAAGCACTCTGGATAGAAGTGCAGGTCGATAGAACCCTTTAGGATTATTGAACATACTCATAGAAACCTGCCCTAAGGAAATAATGATAATTACAGAATAAAGTTTTATGTACAGAGATATTCTTCCCAGAATTATTTTCAGTTGAACATATGGGTTGTTTCAATTTCTTGCAACCATAAAGGGATAGTTAAGTAGATTTGGGGATTTTCTTTAACCATTAAAATGTTTATGAGTGTAATATGGGTTAATGCTTAGAGGGTTGAGTGGAAAAATAAGTTATATATTATCATCACTATACAAAATTAACTACATGGGAAAAAGACCAGAAGGAAACACCAAAAATTAATGGTGTGGTGTCTTTCGGGTACTGTAACAAATTCCCCTTTTAAACATTTTCTGTATGTATCCTTAAGTTTTCTGGGCCACCTTGAAGTGCACCTGTTTGAGGTCACAGTAAACACACACACACATCCCACTCCAGAAGCCTCGAAGAGTGTATCTCTTTACAGCATGTTTTCCCAAAGGGGCAGCATGTACATTGATATAGCCCAGCACATACAGTGTCCTGAAATTCTTCACATCTCTTCCATCTCCCCAAAGTCTCCACAGCAGCCGCTCAAAATCTCTTCTCTCTGATCTGCATATTCTCTCTCTGTGGCTCCATGTGATCCCTTCATGGCCAAGTGCTTTGTTCTTGGCTTCCCTGCTCACACTTTGTGCTCTGACACATGACCCTTCTCACTGCATACGGCACCATGGGAAGTGTAGTCTCCTAGGAAAGTGCCTGTGATCACTCCCTGGAATTCGAGTTAACACATTTCTCCATCTTGTAGCACGAGTTTTCTGTTTTCTCATGTAAGCCTGTCCCGCTTTTTAAATGACACAAATATATAGTATTTTCACAAAGGGAAAGGATATTCACAAAGCAGGGAGACAGTGTGCCCTAGATTCTTTATCTTCTCTTAACATCTGTGTGTTCTAAGCATTATGCCAGGCTTGGCATTCACAGCTAGGATTTCGTTGTTTCTGCTCTCTCCAGGAACTGGTTCAGACAGTAAGTTTGGGAGGCAACTATCTTCTCAACATTGGACCAACTAAGGATGGCCTGATTGTTCCCATCTTCCAAGAAAGGCTTCTTGCTGTTGGGAAGTGGCTGAGCATCAATGGGGAGGCTATCTATGCCTCTAAACCATGGAGGGTACAATTGGAAAAGAACACGACATTTGTATGGTGAGTCTTGTCTTCTGTTGGCTGCAGGAACGGGACTGTGGCCCGTCCTGAACTGGCATCTCCTTGGGTCCACAGTGTTAAAAGCCAGGTTGGAAGTTGTCTTGAGGAAACCCAAAAGCTGTTCTTTTGCTACTAAATTTGTACCCCAGTTTATGTGTTAGGTCGCCAGGATATCTTTGACTAGTGAGGGAGGTTGTAGGCTTGGTGAAAAAAGAAGGAACTTCAAAGCATCAGTCAATTTACTTGACATTGTTACCCTGCCTCCTCAAAACAGTAATAGCTAATACTTGAAGAGCACCTACGATGTGCAAGGCTCCATTCTAAATTCTTCCCACTCATTACACCCCCTCAACAATCCCACCACGTAGATACTTTATGATCCCCATGTTACAAGTGAGAAAGGGGTCCCAGGGCAGTAATATAACTTGCCTAGGATCACAAAACCGGTAAGTGGAGAAGTTACAAGTCATACTTGGAATTGTGGATCTAGTTATTTGATCTTGCGCCTCAGTTTTTTCACCTGCAAAATGGGGTGATAATACTTAACTTCCTAGAGTTGTTGTGAGGATTAGATGAGATCCTGTATGTAAAGTGCCCAGCAGAGTGCCAGGCCCATACTAAGTCTTCGATAAATGTATCTGCTGGTGCTATACCATAGAGCGCAGGTCTCTGCATCAGAGGAAACACGTTCATCCCTCTGTTTTGGATGAGTTTCTATTTAGTGATTTTCATCCTCTTCTCTAAGCGTGGTGAAATCCCAGAACAACGAATCTGTCTTCATTGCACATCTTGCCCTTGTTGTATCCTCTGCTGTTTTCACATGGATTTGGAGTTGAAAAAAGATTTGAATAAGGCAAATGGCGTCAATGTGAAATAACTATATAACAGTTAAAATTTTTTAAAGAGAATTTATAACCCAATAGGGAGGGAAAATGGAAGATATCACCAGAAAGAGTCTTACACGGCTGCTTTCTTCCTACAGACCTTCACTGATATCGAGTTATTAGTGCTTCCTAGCAGCAGTGACAGACTCAAGGTCTTGGAATTGGTAGATACTTGAAAGGGAAATTTATAAGGTTATGTGTCAGGATAACAAGCCAGGTATCTTTGGCAATGATGTTTCTTTTTCCCAGGTATACCTCAAAAGGATCAACTGTCTATGCCATTTTCCTGGACTGGCCAGAAAAGGGAATCTTAAGCCTTAAATCCCCCATAACTACCTCTGCTACACAGGTAAGGAGACTCAGTCAGTCCTTTCAGAGATGTAACTTTTTCTAAAGGAATTGTCAGGTCCTCTCTACTTCTTCGTTCCTTCCCCACGTTTCTCCCATGTTTATTCCCTTTTCAGACTGTCTTCCCTGCCCTGGCCCAGCCTGGTTGTTTCCCACCATGTTCAGGCCATATTCTATACTCATTAATGCGTTAATGTGTTTTTCATTCCCTTTTTCTTTCTGCAGATAATGATGCTGGGAATCCAAAAAGATCTGAAGTGGTCCACAGATCCAGTTAAAGGTCTCCTCATTTCCCTGCCCCAGTTACTGCCCTCTGCCCTCCCAGTTGAGTTTGCTTGGACTGTAAAGCTGACAGGAGTGAAGTGATCAGTGGCGTTCAAGAGGAAAGGGACACTACCTGCTGTTTGCTGCTTTGATTTTCCTCTTCTGGTACCGTCATTGTAATAAACTACTCTTCTCTACCCAGAGATGGCTCTTCCAACACATTTTAATCAAAGGAACTAAGTGCATTACACTAATGTCTCAATGGATGAAAGATCTGAGATCCATTGCTGGCATCTCTCTCTTTGATCAGCAGAAGAAGGGACTAAACAGTTAAGCCCTGAGTTCATCCATTCCTAACTTTGGAAATTATCTACAATAGAAACTTCTCTCCATTCTCATGTTGATAACCTGCTTGCTTACTCAATGACTGCAGATAAAAGCCAAGTCACCCTGTTGCCCGTGGGAGGAGGTGAGAAGGGTTTGGCAAGCTCAATCATGTGCTGTTTATTTAGCATCAGTTGTCACCAGCACCCCCCAAAGAGCAGGAGAGCCTGGAGAGAAAGGAAAAGGCTTGCCAGGCTGCTTATGGTTAACTCTTCAGAAATTTCCAAAGCAAACTAAGAGCTCTGAAATTCAGTCTGTTTACAGTGATACTATGAAAAAAATAAATGTGATTCTGCCCTACTTTTTAAAATATGATCACATAAATAAATTTGAATGTAAATCATTTCTACCAAAAAGCATACTGTAGCTTTTTTCTAGTTTCTGTCTGACTGTTTACAGCTTTATGTTTCTGTTAAAAGGAAAGCAGGACGAGGGGTTGGGGGTAGGGGGTGAGGGTGGGGGTGCTACCAAGTCTCCTTAATGCAGAACAAAAAATGCAATTCCTTTGGTTTTTCTGCTCCTCACTTCTAGCACCATTCTTTTGGGTTGACTACCAATTAAGTTCAGCCTCTTTAATTGTTATAGATCTAATCAAGTTTTCTATTTCTTTTGTTATTTAATAGATATATTTAGAAATCTTTACTCAACATTTACGGAATATTTGTTTTTCTCAAGCATGTATGGAACATTTGCAAATGTCAGTACCAAAGCAGCAGTATCATATAGATTATATAGTGTGTCTGCAACACCATTAAAGGGCCATAAAAACTTGGAGGAAAAAACTTCATATGTTTGGAAATTTTAAAACACACTTCTAAATAACTCATTGATCAAAGAAAGCACCATATGGGAAATTAGAAAATACTTAGAATGATAATGAAAACACTATTATAACTTGTGAGATGTAGCTTAAAAAAGTCTTCAGAGAGGATTCTGGGAAGATGGCAGCCAGGAAGCATCAGGAATCTGTCTCCTCACAAAGACAACAATTGCACTGGTAGAATCTGTCTGATATAACTATTTTGGAACTCTGGGAGTCTACCCAAAGGCTTGCAACTTCCAGGGGAAGACTTGGATGGTAAATTATGGTTAATTTTGGTCAATTTCAGCTACTCATCCCCCACCCCCAGCCACATAGTAGGCAGCTGTGCACAGGTACCTGGAGCAACTTGTACATAGCTTGTAGGAGCCAAGGTGGGCAAAAAGAACTTTGTTCTCCAAATATTGGAGATTTGTGCTCTGATGACTGATTGCTGCTTCTCATCACAGAGGTACAGAGAGAGGTGGGCAGCCATTGTTGTTGCACCTCCCCCCATTGTTGCAAGCCCCTCCTCCGCTGGCTAAAGTGACTTCCTGGGGATTTAAAGAGCTAGCACCCTTTTTTCCCTTTCATTTTTCTTTTTCTGCCCTTTTGGGAGCCAGACATTAAAGACTAGGACATTCAAAGACAACTGCATATATGGGGAAAATTAGAAAGTGACCATGCGTGCCCATGGAAAGGCTCAGAAAAGACCTAAGAAGATCTTAAGTTTACACCTATGGCTTATCCTTGGCACAGAGACAGCCTACTACAATCACAAATGCAAAAACAATAACAAAAAATAGCAAATCCTGGGAAATAGGGGAGAATCTGGTTTCCAGAGTTACCACATTATAGATTCAAACGTCTAGTTTTCAACAACAACAACAACAAAATCACAAGGCATACAAAGAAACGAAAAGTATGGCCCATTCAAAAGAAAAAAGAAACTGTCCCTGAAAAAGACCTGATGGCAGATATACTAGACAAAGACTTTAAAACAACCGCTTTCAAGATGCTCACAAAACTAAAGGGAGATGTGGAGAAAGTCAAGAAAATGATGTATGAATGAAATGAATATATAAGTAAAGAGATAGAAAAGCTAAAAAGAAACCAAAAAAAAAATTCTGGAGCTAAAAAGTACAATAACTGAAGTGAAAAATTCCCTAGAGGAATTCAAAGGCAGATTTGAGCACGCAGAAGAAAAAACAGTGAACTTGATGATAGGACAATGACAATTATCAGGTCTGAGGAACAAAAAGGAAAAAGAAGAAAAGAGCACATATAGGCCACAAATTCTCAGTAGATTTAAGAAAAGAGATATTCAAAGTATTTTTTCTGACCACAACTGGATGAAGTTAGAAATCAGTAATGAAGGAAAACTGGAAAATTCACAAAATTGTAGAAATTAGCACTCTTAAACAACCCATGGATCAAAGGAGAAATCACAAGGGGAATTAAAAAATACTTAGAGATGAATGAAAACAAAAACATAACATACCAAAACTAATGGGATGCAGCGAAAGCAGTACTAAGGGGGAAATTTATATGTATAAACATATCAAAAAGTAAAAAAGATCTCAACTTTACAACTTAAGGAACTAAAAAAATAAGAACAAACTAAACCCAAAGCTAGCAGAAGGAAGGAAACAAAGATTAGAGCAGAGATAAACAAAATAGAGAATAGAAAAACAATAGAGAAAATCAACAAAACCAAAAGTTTGTTCTTTGAAAAGGTTAACAAAATGACAAGCCTGTAGCCATATATGGACTAAGAAAAAGGAGAGAAGACTCAAATTACTAAAATCAAGAATGAAAGTGGGGACATTACTACCAATTCTACAGAAATAAAAATTATTAGAAAACTATGAACAATTGTATGCCAGTAAATTGGGTAACCTAGATGAAATGGACAAACTCCTAGAAACACAAAACCTACCAACATTAAATCACAAAGAGGGCCGGCCCTGTGGCTTGGTGGTTAAGTGCGTGCGCTGCAATGCTGGCGGCCCGGGTTCGGATCCCGGGTGCGCATCGAGGCACCACTTCTC